ACTGCACTCTAGTCTGGGCGACAGAGTGAGACTCCAACTCAAAAAAAAAAAAAGAATGTACTTTTATTGTGACCTCAGTACTTTTGAGTGACTCAAAACTACTCAGGCTAGTTTTGTGACTACCTTAGTATTGTGAATTCTAATTGTGAGTGTAATTCTGTCCACAATTGAGTAGTAATATTGTGACTCAAAGCTACTCAAGGTAGTCTTACTAAACTATGAGGCAGTTGGAATGAACTTTTTGGGGGACCCCCCAAAAAACAGAATTATCTTTTGGCGGACGGGCCCCTTGTAGTACAGGCTTCCCCTGTTAGGCTAGTGTTCTAGGACCCCATCGGCATCAGTGGACCAGCTAGCATTGCTGTGGAAGAGGCGGCGATTGACTTCAGTACATTTTTTTTGGAGATTCTTTCAGCATGTTTGTCTATTTCATGGTGGGTGATTTACAAGCACACCTGCTCACACTGCACTGAGTGTCCAGCAGTTTCTGGCCAAAAGCCACATGAGCCCCATGCCCCACCCTCCCTATTCACCCCGTCTCGCCCCGAGCGACTTTTTTTGTTTGTTTCCTTGGATTAAAAAATAGTCTCCAAAGGGAAACGTTTTACCCATGTGGAAGAGGTGAAATAGAAAGCAATACAAGCACCAGGTACCATAGCTCACACCTATAATCGCCTATAATTCCAGCACTTTGAAAGGCCAAGGCGAGAGGATTGCCTGAGCCCAGGGCTTCAAGACCAGCCTGGGCAACTTGGCGAAACCTTATTTCTTTAAAAAAAAAAACAAAAACGGCAGAACTGAAAGTCATCAAAATTGACGAGTTCAAAATTGTTTTGAGGAGTGGAAAAAGCATCTTAATAGGTGTATTATATCAAACAGAGAGTACTTTGATGGTGACTGCAGTTTAAACATGTAAAAATAAATATTTAATTTTTTATAAGTGAATTCAGTTTTGGGGGTCCTCCCTTGTGTATATACTTTTGCTAATTGTCTCGTGTTCTCCAATGTGTATGACTGGAGCGTAATGTCTCTGGACCTAAGTAACTTCTGATTATGCTTGCTAATCTACGTATGTTATCCTGTGTTAAGGAAAAGGCTTGGTTCACTTTAAGGGCAAGGACGGAGAGTGCCGTAGACAAAAAAGCGTGGCTAATGGTAAATAAGAGGGGTGACAGTAACTTGCTTGCGGGGAGTCCTTCATCCTGCCAGTCTTAATTAACTTATCATATGTCAACTACATCACTCCAAATGCTACGTTATTAGAGAAATAGCCAATCAGATATTTTATCCCCACTGATAAGTAGCAAGCACTTTTTAGATGTTGATTTAACTGGAATGGGGTTTTAAAACTCGTTATTTAATCCTGCCAGCCTTTGAGTCACTTACTGTTTGTTTTTCTCATGTCAGATTTAGCTACCAAGCATTATATAGCTATATTCCACAAAACGATGATGAGTTGGAGCTCCGTGATGGTGATATCGTTGACGTCATGGAAAAGTGTGACGATGGATGGTTTGTTGGTAAGAATCTCATCGTGTTTTTCTTACTAGCTGTGTATCGAAGGGGTAGCGAGGGTTCACGAGCTCACAACGAGCAGTCTTCTCTGTGCAGAAAGGAGGACCTTCTCAGCTTGTCGCCACCTTTGGGAATGCTCAGCCACCAGTCTGTGTTATTTTTACTACAGTGTGGATGTTAGCGAGGCTGGACCTCAAGCCAAACACTATATGCCAGCATCTGTGGCATAGAGGAACAGTTGTCACACTTATTAATTGGGGCTCCATTTCTATTTCTTTTTTTTTTTTTTTTTTTAAATCGGAGTCTCACTCTGTTGCCCAGGCTGGAGTGCAGTGACACGTTCACAGCCACCCCAGTGTCGACCTTCTGGGCTCCAGCGATCCTTCTGCCTCAGCCTTCCAACTAGCCAGAACTACAAGTGTACACTACAATGCCCGGCTAATTTTTGGATTTATTGTAGAGACAAGGTCTCGCCAACTTGCCCAGGCTAGTCTTGAACCCACGAGCTCAGGCAATCCTTTCGTCTCAGCCTCCCAAAGTGCTGGGAATACAGGTTGAGCCACCGAGCCCGGCCTCCATTTCTGTTTCTATTGTGCCTGTGACTGTTTTGCATTTGGACATTTTATTTTTGAAACTCTTGTGAAACAACACAAGAAAGTTTTGACGGAGGCTACATATGCGAGGCACCTTGAAACTCAAGTGTATATAAAGACATTCCAAAGACCTTATTGACTCCAGGCTTCCGATAACTTTAATCAAAGCTGCCTGCTTCATTAAAACAAAGGATTTGCCTTTATAGGAAGGAGAAAGAAAGATCCATGTTTATGGAGATTCTTGTGACAAATCAGACACTCTGCTTGCTATGTTTTTATGGCAGTCCTCTCAACAAACAGCCCTGGAAGATAAGAAGTATTCTCATTTAAGAGATTCAAAAACTGAGGCCCAGAGAGGTTAAGTAAGTATCCCAGGGTCACCCAGATAGCAAAGGTGGGGTCAGGATTTGAACTTAGACCACTTGTCTCTCCACAGGTCTGTGTTCTTTCTGCTCAGGCCTGAATGTAACATTAGGAAGCCCTGACTCACCCTCTGCCTCAGTTTTCATTCATACAAATGGCTTTGCCTTTATCGTCTTCCCAAAGACCAGCTCTTCCCTGGTCTCTGAAAAAACTCTGCAAAAGTGAAGTCACGTCAGGACTTGGTGGTGAGGACGGCAAGATCTCAGCATAAACGGGAAGCCAGGAAGATTTGCCTTGGTCTCACCAGCCTCTTAGAAAGCTGTCACATCCTCCCAAGACCCCAGAAGCCTGTGGTGGTCACTAGCCTGAGTCACTCTGTTCAGAAAAAAGTCAGATCTGAGAAGTCAGCGGCCACTCTAATGCAGTGCAGAGCAGTAGAAGCACAATGAAAACCATGTGTGAAGTTTAAGATTTCCTAAAAGCCACATTGAAAAAAGGCAAAGAGGCTGGGTGCGGTGGCTCATGCCTGTAATTCCAGCACCTTGGGAGGCAGAGGCAAGAGGATTGCCTGAGTTGAGGGGTTTGAGACCAGCCTGAGCAACAATGTGAGACCTCGTCTCTATAATAAATTTAAAAAGTAACCAGGCACGATGGCGCATGCCTGTGATTCCAGCTACTTGGAAGGTTGAGGCAGAAGAATCGCCTGAGCCTACCTGGGCGAGGCTGCGGTGGCCGTGAGCATGCCCCTGCACTCCAGCCTGGGTGGCAGAGTGAGACTCCAACTCAAAAAAAAAAAAAAGACAAAGAAACCAGTGAAATGAATTGTGATATATTTTATAAACCCAAGGCAGTCAAGTTAAAAACTGTGAGATATTTTACATTCTTCTTTTCATACTAAATCTTCAAAATTCAATATATGTTTATATTTTACAGTCACAGCACAGGCCACCTCAGACTAGCCATATTCCAGGTGCTCATTGGCTGCAAGGGGCAGTCATTTTTGTGTCATTTTAGAGGGTGCAGCCCCAGTATGCATTAGCTGTTAAATTCTTCCGGGGAGTATTTACATTTTTTAAATGAGAACTTGGGTAGGGGACGGGACACCAGTTCCCTGATGAAGGCATCCCAGACTGCTGAGCCAAGGAAATGTTTCCCTGCACTCTTCAGTTGCTTCGAGAAGTAGCCCAGTCTTCAAACCACAAATAAAGTAGCGCAGCAGATCTCATCCGTAAGGAAAGGCACGAACCAGCTATATGAGCAGAGTTCCTTACCATCTCTGGACTTTACCATCCTAGTTCTCCAACCTTCCTGATTGTTCTCCCCAGGGGTCCAACTAGATGTTCTGGGTGTCTTGTTTGGCACATTCTTTTAGCTTAGAAGTTTCCCTTTGGATGCCAGGCGCGGTGGCTCACGCCTGTAATCCCAGCACTTTGGGAGGCAGAGGCAACAGAATTGCCTGAGCCCAGGGGTTCAAGACCAGCCTGGGCAATTTGGTGAGATCTTGTCTCTACTGTAAATCAAAAAATTAGGCCAGGCTCGGTGACTCAGCCTGTCATCTCAGCACTTTGAGAGGCCGAGGCGAGTGGATTGCCTGAGCCCGCAGGTTTGAGACCAGCCTGGGCAACTTGGTGAGACCTCATCTCTACAATAAATCAAAAAATTAGCCAGGCATGGTAGTGCACTCCTGTAGTTTCAGCTACTTGGAAGACAGGCGGAAAGATCGCCAGAGCCCAGCAGGTCAAAACTGCGGTGGCAGTGAGCATGCCACTGCATTCCAACCTGGGCAACAGAGTGAGACTCCAACTCAAAAAAAAAAAAATTTAGTCAGGCATGGTGGCACGCGCCTATAGTTCCAGCTACTCTGGAGGCTGAGGCAGAAGGATCCTCTGAGCCCAGCAGGTCGAGGCTGTGGTGGCCATGAGCATGCCATTGCACTCTAACCTGGGTGACAGAGTGAGAATCCAACTAAAAAAAAAAACAAGAAGTTTCACTTTGGATGATGATTCAAGCCCACTGGTAGTGGCTGCTTGAGATGTTCTCTGTTCACTAGAATTCTGAGGCCAAATGCAAGCCAACTGGGAAAGAACACAATATCAAATTGGGATGTCTGCTCATGAGAGGACAGTGATGACACAACGTGTATCTGCCCCCTCTGCTTTAGAGAGTCCCAAGAGAAGAAACTGGATAAGGGATCCAGCAGTTCTGGGTGTGCAGCAGCCCAGGAAAGCCTTTGATTCCCGATGGCTCATTCTTCTGGTTCAGCGGAACCCTAGCAAAGCTTCACAGCGGAGAAAGACAGGGACTCAATTTGGGGCTCAGACACAGGCTTCTGAGAGGAATTTCTTTTTGCTGTGTAGTCATAGTCAGTGGACTCTTAGAAACTGTGCTTAGGGCCGGGCACGGTGGCTCACGCCTGTCATCCCAGCACTTTGGGAGGCCGAGGCTACAGGATTGCTTGAGCCCACAGGTTTGAGACCAGTCTGGACAACATGGCCAGACCTCGTATCTTCAACAAATCAAAAAATTAGCGGGGCAAGGTGACGCAGGCCTGTAGTTCCACCTGCTTGGTTCTTGGAAGGCTGAAGCGGAAGGATCGCCTAAGCCCAGCTAGGTTGAGGCTGTGGTGACCGTGAGAGTGCCACTGTACTCCAGCCTGGGTGACAGAGTGAGGCTCCAAGTAAAAATAAATAAATAAATAAATTCTAATCCCAGATCTTCTTGTGTTGGCTCAATACATGAATTTCTCCAAAAAGGAGAAGTTTTGGAAAGATCAATGGCTTAGGAATCAGAAGAGCTGGGTTCAGATTCTACCTCTGATACTTGTTAGGCTATAGAACCTCAGAAGTGTTACCTAACTTCTCTGAGCCTCGGTTTCTCCATCTGAATAAAGAAATGCTTTAGAAGGTGCAGTGGCTTACACCTGCAATCCCAACAGTTTGGGAGGCCAAGCTGGGAGGATCACTTGAGGTCAGGAGTTTGAGACCAGCCTGAACAACCTAGCAAGCCCCCATCTCTCTACAAAAAAATATAAACACTGGCTGAGCGTAGTGGTGAACGTCTGCAGTCCCAGCTTCTCGGGTGGCTGAGGCAGGAGGATCTTTGGGTCCAGGAGATCAACACCAGCCTGGGTAACAGAGTGAGACCCATCTCTATGTATGGAAGGAAGGGAGGGAAGGCTGGGTGGAGGGAGGGAGGAATGAGAAAAAGAGAGAAAAAACCGGGCTCAGTGACTCAGCCTGCAATCCCGCGCTTTGGGAGACTGAGGTGAGTGGATTGCCTGAGCCCGCGGGTTTGTGACCCGCCTGGGCAACTTGGCGAGACCTCATCTCTACAATAAATCAAAAATTAGCCAGATGTGGTAGCACGCCCCTGTAGTTCCAGCTACTTGGAAGGCTGAGGCGGAAGGATCGCCAGAGCCCAGCGGGTCGAGGCTGCAGTGGCCGGGAGCGACCACTGCCCTCCAGTCTGGGCGACAGAGTGAGACTCCAACTCAAAAAAAAGAAAAAAGAAAAAAAAAGGAAAGAAAAAGAGAGAAAAACGCCTACGTTGCTCACCACCCAACATTATTTTGCAGCCTAAATGAGATAAAGTAAGGGAAAGTCCTTTGGAAATCATATGTGATTCTACAAGCTGCAGCACTGTTACCCAGGAATGCTAGGGTAAAATTCTCTATAGTAGCTTTCTTAACTCACACTGATGGGGCTTCTCATGTTGCATATGTGTGTGTGGTTTTTTTTATAGGCACTTCAAGAAGGACAAGGCAGTTTGGTACTTTTCCAGGCAACTATGTAAAACCTTTGTATCTATAAGAAGACTGAAAAGCCACCGAGATTGTTTTTATTGGAAGATGAAGCATAATTCATGAACCGATCTCTTTAGTTGAGTCAGTAGGAAAATTAACGCAGTGGATACAGCAAGAAGCAAAAACAGAGGGACAGAGAAGTGTGCTGAAAGCCCAAGCCTGTCTAAGGTTACTGCGTATCGGACAGGGCCGAACGTGTGCTGAGCAAAAGGAACTGAGGCAAATCGTATTTACTTAGCTGCTTCTGGGAGCCACTCCAGCCTTCTCCTTCCTTCCACCTCTGGGTAATCTGACCTGGAGCATAGGCCAAGAGCAGAGTTAGCCAGAAACGCCGCCTGTGGCCTGGCCTTTACCAGTCCCTTTCTTAAAGGGGTCACTGAGCCTGGGCAACCCTCGGGGTGCCAGGCAGGTCCCTAGCCATTGTCTAGAGGCTCCACCAACACCCAGCTTCCCTGGAGCCAGCTGGTCACCCCCACCCAATACCTCCCCGCAAACTGCCCCAGACCTAATCCCTCGCTGGACCTGCTGAGGTCCAGGTGGAGAAATGGAGACAAGATGTCGCCACCCGCTGCATTCAGCCTGCTGTGTGGCATTGCCATCGACTGCCCTGGGGTTCAGACAGAAAAGCACGCAGGGTTTGCTCATGAGAACCGGGGAACAGTGGCCAGGTAGATAGTAGGGTACATTTGTGTTTCCAAGTGACTAAGTCAAGGAGCCTGTAGCTCTCAAGGCCACGGGCAGTGCGTTTCTTTCCTCAGTCACTGGCTTTTACAAAGGGTCACCTTCAGGACAGTACAGCAACATTTTTTAGGATACCTTCTCTGGCTTGCGTTCAGCTGGGACAGTTTGGAAAGAGTAGGCCTGTTTGGTAGAAAACCAAGAATGGTGTTCAGTGATTTATTTAACACACATGATGCACCCCGGCTGCTGGGGACACAAATGGGCAAGACGTGACCCAGGCTTAGGCGGGACACGACGTGTCTTCACTTTTACCCCCCGTAGGAATTCTAGGACCTACTCAAAATGTAGGCTTTGTGTTGGGAATCTGAGGGTGCCCTGGTGAGGCTACCTTCAGAGTGAAGCAGTGATTCTGCCCTTTCCAGGGGCAATCGGGAAGTCTGTCCTTTGTGGGGCTGGCTCCGAGGAGGGAGGCCCCTGTGACACCAGGAGTGCTTAGTTACAACTCTGTGCAGTTCAAGAACGTTTATTGGCCTCTGTGTTAGACCCCTTAGTGAGGCAAAGTTAGAAATGACTCATTCCCTGCCCACCAGGAACCCAGAGGTGATTGGGGAGACAGATACGGAAAAAAAGCACTTAATCGAGAGACTGTGATATGTGCTAAGAAAGGTGTGGGAGATGAGGGTATGAATTTTCTCTGGAGGGATCCTAGGAAGCATTGTCATATTTCTGTCTCCATTAGGTCACAATAGGAGTAGCACTTCTAGGTGGCAGGGTGTGTACAGAAACTCTTGGCTCTCTGCGCGTAGCTCGGAATTAACCCCAGGAACATTAGAAGTCCTTAGAAGTAGGCGAAGTTTGTTTTCAGTGCCTGTGCCCCAGCTGCTGTCCTGGATGCCACCCATCTTAGGATTCTACTGGCTTCCCTACTCCCACCGGGCAGCCACAGTCTCCTCACTTCTCCCTATCATTCTTTCAGATCCTGTTCTCAGGAAAGAAACTGCCAGTGATTCACTCACACTAAAGTGTAAATGACTGATAAGAGGAATGCATTGCCTCTTCCCACAGACAGAGCAGAGCCTTAATCCTGAGGGAAAAGGCCATGGAACTGGTGGAGTGGGGAGAGCTTCCCGGGTAGAAAGAACTTTCTTGACTGTCCTTAGGACCTAGTGACAAGATCTTTTTTTTGAAAGGTCTGCTGCACCATCCAAGAACACTGGTTGCTGACTGTCTCTCCGAGGGGATTTAGTATAAGTGCATTTTGCAGGGCAGTGGTTCGCCCATCTTGGAATGTATTGGCTAATGCGTTTCCTGGTCCTTCTTAGATGCAAACCATTAATAACACTATCTTATCTAATAGTTTTTTGAGGGGTGCTTCTTGATTAAGTAGGTCATTTTGAACACCTCTTTCAATACAGCTAGAAAATGAAACCAATCTGTAAAGCCACATTTGCATATGACGCTGGCCTCACGCATTTGTATGTCTCCAGAAATCCAGGTATGCCTCACCAATTTGCCGTCTTCAATAAAATCATATGTTCAAATCTGCGTCACTTCAGCTTCCTACGTACCACAAAACAAGGAACAAAGGTTTCAAATCGCTCTTTTGTCTTCAGGCATTTAGTAATATAAAGTACCTATTTTTATGCTGAAATGTTTATACTGGTTTACTAATAGCAAGGGCAACTATCTGGCAGCATGCCTCACAACACATTTTGATATATTAGCCATGCTTCCGGGTAAAAGCAAGCCCCAAACTACTTATCTTTTGCAGTCTCTCTGGGATCAGTAAAAGAAAACAAACAAACATATGCTTAAGAAGTGGGACTGTAAATATGTATATTTAACTTTGTATAGCCCATGTACCTACCTTGTATAGAAAAATAATTTTAAAAATTTGAATGGAAGTGGAGTAAAGTAAGGAAGTCATGAAGTTTTTTTTTTTTTTTTCATTTTTATTTAAATGAAGGAATTCCAAATAACGCACCTACGGATTTTTAGCACAAAACTAGCCATTGTGAAGTGTTAAAATTTATGAGTTTTGGGGACAAAAGGTAAACATTATCTCAGTTACAGTTTGTTGTTGGGTTTTTTTTTCATTTTGTTTTTTTGGGATTTTTTTTGGTTGTTTTTTTTTTTTGCAGTCCTATTTATCTGCAGTAGTATTACATCCTATTGTTAGAATAGGTGACAAGGAAAGCTGATATTCTGAAAAAAAAATAACTGACGTTATGTATAACCAATTAATTTAAAGTATTGCCATTTGAATTACACACTGAGAGCATGTACGATGCAGACATAGATCTTTCTGGTCATTTATTTTTCTTTATTGCAGTGGATTGATTTGCTAAATAGATATGTTGAATTACTACATTTGCTGTACATATTATTTAATAAACTTTATTCGGAATTGTGTGGCATATGTTTGTTCTGGCCATTCATTGTTTCATTCCTTCCTTCGCCAAGCTTCCTAAATAAGGCTTGCATTCACTGCATCAATTTTTCTTTTCTTTCTTTCTTTTTTTTTTGTTGTTGCTGTTTTTTTGAGTTGGAGTCTCACTCTGTTACCCAGGCTGGAGTGCAGTGGCACACTCACGGCCACTGCAGCCTTGACCTGCTGGGCTCCAGCGATCCTTCCACCTCAGCCTCCCAAGTAGCTGGAACTACAGGTATGCACCATCACTCCTGGCTCATTAAAAAAAAAAATTTATTGTAGAAACAAGGTCTTAGTCGGGCTCAGTGGCTCAGCCTGTAATCCCACGCCTTTGGGAGGCTGAGGTGAGTGGACTGCCTGAGCCCGCGGGTTCGAGACCCACCTGGGCAACTTGGCAAGACCTCATCTCTACAATAAATCAAAATGAGCTGTTCGTGGTACCGCACGCCTGTAGTTCCAGCTACTTGGAAGGCTGAGGCAGAAGGATCGCTGGAGCCCAGCAGGTCGAGGCTGCGTGCACTCCAGTCTGGATGACAGAGTGAGACTCCAACTCAAAAAAAGAAAAAAGAAAAAGAAACAAGGTCTTGCCAAGTTGCCGGGACTGGTCTCGAACCCCCGGGCTCAGGCAATCCATTTGCCTTGGTCTCCCAAAGTGCTGGGATGACAGGCTGAGCCCCTGAGCGGGGCAGAACCCAACCACTTCTGCTGTCATGGCCCAAAGCCCTTCTCTCTCGCCTGGATGTTGCAATAACTTTCTAACCGATCTCCCTGCTTCTGCCCTTGCCCCATCTATACTAGTATTGACAGAGCCATTAGAGGGATCATTTTAAAGTTGGTCCAAAACCCACCCTCCCCTCTCCCATACCTTCCGTCTTACCTTCGATCCTGCAGATTTCTGTTTGTTTCAGCCACATACGTTCCAGCCACACAGCCCTCCTTACAGCCTCAAACTCATCAAGCATATTTCAGCTTTAGAATCCTTGCAATTGCAATTCCCTGTGCCTAGAAGACCCTTTCACCAAGACAGCATGGCTGTCTTCCTCCCTTCCTTTTTTTTTTAATAGGATAAAGGGTACACAAATTTAACGTGTATACACAGGAGGCTTCCAAATGCAGACTTAACCCCCCAGTGAGCTTCAGAAACTTATATACCCTCTTGGTAAAACAGGTAATGGGAGAGGGGAGCAAAAGAATTCTGTCGAGAAGTAAAAAATGATGACCAGGGAGAATGATTGGATCAGGGAACTGACATGAACGCGTAAGTAATTTTGTTTGGAATTTAAGTGATACTTGGAGGCAATCAGTTTGATTACGTTCTTGATCTTCTTTCCCATAATGGATAATCTAACAGGGAGGGGAAGAAGAAAAAATTGCTCTCCTTTGTGGGTCAGGACTTAGGCAATAAAGGAACTTCGGCAAACAACCTTATCCTATGCTGTGGGAGAGACTGGGGGGTTGGGAGAGGGATCTTGAGCCTTCATGTCACATGCTGGAGTATTGGTTTCTGAACCCTAACATCCCCCTGTCTGAAACAGCCCTAGAAGTTTCACACACTAAAAGCTGAGTTGATGGCCATGGAGAGAAAAACAGTTAAAAGCTGAGTGGCAAAGGATCCCATTCAACCATTCTGCCATTTCTGGAAATAGGCCTGTCCCATTAGACAGCTGTGTCTCATTTTCGGAGATGGCATTGTAGATGGCTTTTCAAACAGAAGGAAAACAAAGGTTAATGTTGGGAACAAGCTATAAACCAGTTTCCTTAGAGTCTGAAGGGTAGTCGGTTGAGGTATCCAGATGTTGGATTCAAAAGTTTAAGTGGAAGGACATAGTGGTAATCTGACAAGTTTTTCTCACCTGTATCACAGGGTGTAAGCTTCGGCTTTCAGGGACTCGGGGAAAAGGTGGTAGCAATTCCATTGAGTTCAAGTCAGAAAAATGGAAGAACAATTGGAAAATGTTGGTTTGGAGGCTTGTAGCCAGGAAAAAATTCAAAGTTCAGTCCAAATTGTAGGCAAAGAAAAAACAAAAACAATGGGTGAGGCTAGAACCTAATAACAGCTGTCCTATAGTTTTCTTCTGAAACATAATTTTCCTGTCTCCAGTTTCCTGTTTCTACCAAGGATAAATTATGGTAGGACTTATTTTACTTGGCCTGATTATTTGCATAAAGTGTAGTAAGAAGGCTGATTGGCCACACAGGCTCTTTTTAAATTGGCTTGGTGGAACATTTTTCATAAAGGACCTCGGATTAGACCTTTTAAAAGTTTCTCGAGGCTAGTCAAGCCAAGGATTTATCTGTGCCTGAAGACACCTGTATGAATTGGGTTAATTCCTCTCTTCCTGAGGTTCCAAAGTAACTTCCTTGGCCTGTCAGGAAG